CATGGGCACCACGCAGCCCAGGGCTCAGCAGAGCCTGACATGGACCCACTCACCATGGCAGTGCTGGGGCCAGTGGCCATCACCCCATGAACAGGGAGCTCGGCCCGGCCGCCTTCTCGCAGATCCAGAGGTGCAGGTCATCGGGACCGGCGCACTGGGCAGGTTTGATGCTCCCACGGCTTATTACAGCACAGGACCCGTTTGACTTCCACTGCCACGGCCTGGATGAGGAAACAGCACATCATGGGGCTGCCACTGCCTTACCCACCACTCGCTGCCCGTGGGTTCCCTCTTGTACACTCACACGGGAAGGGTTGAATGCTGCAGTCAGAGGGGGGATCCCCCAATCCTCCCCTACTGATTTCACAGGCTGAAGCCTCAGCTGACTCATCCCTGCCTTTCCTTGGGCAGGTTGAGGAACCTCTCCTCAAAAGGCTTGTGACTCCCCTCAGCCTCCCAGCTGCTTGAATCTCCCACTTGCTGCTGGGGGGATATTTCATCCCTGCAGAGTCTGGAGCTGGGGAGACCCCATTCCTCCCCGAGGGGACATGGATGGCCATGGAGCTGCCTGGAGCCATGGGACTATGTTGGGGTGTAGACCCCACACGGCGAGGCTGAGGATGGAGGGGTAGGCAGTGGGCAGGGGCTGGGTACCCAGCACCCAGCCAGACGGGTCTGTTCCTCCCCACTGCTCTCAGACACTGCAAGAGGAAGCAGTAGCGAGATGGGGAAGGGGTGCACGTGTTGGGGAGGAGCCCAGGACCCTCTGCAGGCAGGAAGGCTCGATTTCTCCTTAAGGAGGGACTGGGGAGGCACATGGAGGATAGAGGTGGTGCTTTGTCTAGACCCCAAATAAAACTTGTGGTTTCTTTTGTCCCCTCTTGCTGCCTTCTGCTTGTGCATGCTCTCCATGTGCCACCCCAAGTCTTGGCTTTCCATCTGCACAACCTCTGAGCACACCATCACACCACCTCCCCTGAGTCTCAGCTGCTTGGATGCTCTTTGATGCCCAGTGTTTGTGCCTGGGATTGGGTACCAGTGGGATTTAAAGCACTTCCTAAAGACATGCTGGAGGAGACAGGGTTTTGGCAAGAGGCTGTGCTGCTGAGTACCTTTCATAAAGGGAGCCGTCCACCCAGAACCAGGCATCTGAGACCCCCTCATCCTCTGGGTCCATTTCCTCCAGCAAGCCATATTCATACCAGGGGAAGCTGCTCTTCTGCAGCCCGATCCAGTATGGGATATCCGCATTCTTCAGGAAGGCCTGAGGAAGGAGAAAAAGGGCCTTTTAGTGGCTTTTCCATGGTACATCTGTGCTGTGGTGTTTGCAGAGGGTGGTCATTTCCCAAGGAGTCCCTGGGGCTGGAGTTCCTGGGAGCAGAACAGCTGAGCAGCCCTGGTCCCCGGCTCCTGCTTGGGCAGCATCCAGGGGTGCCAGAGCCCCTCTGTCCTGTGTCCACCACCATCTATGAGCTCCAAGAGATCAGCCTTGCACCCTCCAATGTTTGGGCAGGCCAGGGGGTCCCAGGGTGGTGCTGATCCACCTGGGGAGCCCCAGGCTGGATGCACCAGCTCCTGCCCTCGGCTCCCCCAGCACCCTACCGGCACAGTCCAGCGACTCCAGGATTTGGTCACCAGGAGCTGAGAATATTTCTTCTCGCACTCATCTCTGCTGTCCTCCCACGTCTTCTTCTCTGATGAGATGAAGAGGCACTTGCCCCTGTACAGCAGCCAGCCCGAAGGGCAGCAATCTGGGGGCAGGAGCACAGCTCAGGTACTTGCACAGTCACAGCTGCCCTGGGGAGGACAGGGAACAGCCCCACATCTTCCCACCAGACATCACAGGCTCAGCCTCTGCTCCGAGCATAGCTTCGACCTTTGGACCACCCTGTCCCCATAATTTGGCCAAAAAAAGCCAGTGCTGATGCCTT